AGATGTATTTGTTTGTCCCAAATTATCTACAAGTCTTATCTCTGTTGGACAACTTCTTGATGATAGATGTGACGTGAAATTCTCTTGTGATGGTTGTCTTGTGCAGGATCAAGTGTCAGGGGAGCTGATAGCGAAGGGGCCTAGGATTGGACGTCTTTTTCCTTTATACTTTCCTAGATATAACTCAGTTTCTGCTTTTGCATGTAATAAAAATTCAGGATCGGTGTGGCATAGGAGACTTGGCCACCCGAATCCTCGAGTTCTTTCTCATTTGTTACGTCTTGGTCTTTTGGGTAATAAAGAGAATATGTTTTCTCATTTTGATTGTGAATCATGTAAACTAGGCAAAAGCAAAGTTCTTACTTTTCCATCTAATGGTAGTCGTGCTTCCCATTGTTTTGAGCTCATTCATAGTGATGTTTGGGGCATTTCTCCTGTTGTGTCTCATTCTCATCACAAATACTTTGTTACCTTTATTGACGATTATAGTCGTTACACTTGGATATATTTTCTTCGATCGAAGGCTGATGTTTTCAGAACATTTCAAAACTTTCTTGCCTTGGTAGAAACTCAATTTTCCACAAATATCAAAGTTCTTCGTACTGATTCTGGTGGGGAGTATATGTCTCATGAATTTCAAACATTTCTTGAATCTAAGGGAATCCTATCTCAACGATCATGTCCTTATACTCCTCAACAAAATGGTGTTGCGGAACGAAAAAATCGTCATCTTCTTGATATCGTTCGGACCTTACTTATAGAATCCAAAGTTCCTACTCGATTTTGGGTTGAAGCTTTGTCTACAGCAGTTTACCTAATAAACCTTCTTCCATCACAGGTCTTGGAGTTTGAATCACCTTATTTCCGGCTCCATAAACGTCATCCAGTGTACACTAATCTTCACCCTTTTGGTTGTGTGTGTTTTGTTCATCTTCCACCCACAGAACGTCATAAACTTTCTGCCTAGTCTGCTCGTTGTGTGTTTCTAGGATATAGCATTAGTCAAAAGGGATTCATGTGTTTTGATCCGCAAGAAAACAAGTTGCGAGTCTCCAGGAATGTTATATTCTTTGAAAATCAGTATTTCTATCATACTTATTTTCCTAATAACTCATCTTCTGTCATATTACCTACGTTTGAAAGTGTCTCTAGTCCTCCTAGCTCCAGGTTCAAAGGAATAGTGTATGCTAGACGCCGTCCGCCAGACTCTTTGCCACCTCCTTCCCTGCCATCAGATCCTGTGCCAGAGCTTCCTCTTGAGGATATGAGCACTGTGGAGATTCCTCTTCGTCGCTCTACACGACGTTCAGTACCACCAGATCGGTATGGATTTTCATCCTCTTCTCATGCTCTTGCTGCTACAGTAGCATCTGTTGTTATTCCCTCATGTTATTCACAGGCTGCCAAACATAAATGTTGGCAAGAAGCAATGCAGGAAGAATTGCGGGCTCTGGAAATTAATCAGACATGGGATGTTGTGTCCTGTCCTCTTAATATCACTCCTCTTGGATGCAAGTGGGTGTATTCGGTCAAAGTTAGATCTGATGGCAGTATTGATCGTTATAAAGCACGTTTGGTGGCACTCGGTAATCATCAAGAATATGGAGTCAATTATGAGGAAACTTTTGCTCCTGTAGCAAAAATGACCACAATCCGGACTGTTCTTGCTATTGCTGCCTCCCAGGGATGGTCTCTATGTCAAATGGATGTAAAAAATGCATTCCTTCACGGTGATCTCAAAGAAGATATCTTTATGCGTGCACCTCCTAGTCTTTTCTCTAGTCCCACCACAAAGGTTTGTAAGTTACGCCGTTCTTTGTATGGACTAAAACAGTCGCCTCGTGCTTGGTATGAAAAGTTTCGTGCTACACTTCAGCAGTTCTCGTTTCAGCCAAGTAAGCATGATACATCCATGTTTCTCCGACATACTTCTGACGGGATTGTAGTGCTTCTTGTCTATGTAGATGATATTGTTATCACTGGAACTGATCACTCAATTATTTCTCAGCTCAAACAACATTTGCATAGTTCTTTTCATATGAAGGATCTTGGAGGACTTTCATACTTTCTGGAGCTAGAGGTTACTGTGGGTTCAACTGGTATTTTTTTAAATCAAGCCAAGTATGCTCGGGATATCATTGAATCTGCAGGTCTTAGTGGCACTTCTCCAGTTGATACTCCTATGGAGCTAAATGTTAAACTTCGAAAAGATGAAGGAGATCTTCTTCCGGACCCAACAGTATATCGTAGGCTTGTGGGCAGCTTAGTATATCTTACGATTACTCGTCCAGATCTATCGTTTGCTGTTCAGCAGGTTAGTCAATTTCTTCAGAATCCCTGTCATCTCCATATGGCTGCAGTTCGACGTATTATTCGTTATGTTCTAGGAACCGTTACCAAGGGACTTTATTTTCCAAATGGTGTTTCTCTTGAACTATCTGGCTATAGTGATGCTGATTGGGCTGGCTGTGTAGACACTCGTCGCTCCACCACAAGATGGTGTATGTTTGTAGGAACTGCTCTCGTTTCCTGGAAAAGCAAGAAGCAGGATCGAGTTTCTAAATCATCTACGGAGTCAGAATATCGTGCTATGTCTCTTGCTTGTTCAGAGATCATATGGCTACGAGGTTTACTAGCAGAGCTTGGGTTTTCACCCACCGGGCCTACTCCATTGCATGTTGATAACACTAGTGCTATTCACATTACTGCCAATCCAGTTTATCACGAGCGCACGAAACACATTGAAGTAGACTGTCATTTTATTCGGGAAGCATTTGAATATCAAGTGATTTCCTTGCCCCATGTATCCACAAATCTTCAAGTGGCTGATATCTTCACGAAGGCTCTTCCTCGTCAGCGGCATCAATTCCTTGGTGGCAAATTGATGCTTGTTGATCAACCAACATCAATTTGAGGGGGGATGTCAATCAGAGAATCAGTAGAAAAATATCTTTGTATCTTATTGAATCTTTGTAATTATAGGAAGATTTTATTTGGCATTGAGTGCAGGGATATCTTGCATTAATTGTAAGAATCCCCTGATTTGTTTCCTTGTACATATATTCACATGTTGCCTATATAAGTGTAAATAAACTGCTGAGCAGGGTAGCTCAAGCTTTCCAGCATTCCCAGTTCTTAGTTCTTGATTTTACTTCGTTCCTGAGTTTATCATTTCTGGTAAAATTAGTGACACTTCTATGATGTATGTTTGTACTTCCTTTGAGGCCTAATTCACTAGGAAAAACCGTAGGAGACCATGAGAGAGAATGTGTATTGATTAATGTCTTTAATGATGAACTGTTATGTACTGAAAACAATATGTTGAAATTCAAAATAAAGTTGAGCTTGCATTAGTGACATGTGTCTAGGTATCCAAAAAAGCATATCATTTACCTATCTTCCGAGTTTACCAATAAAGATATCCTATATACTACAACCATGTGTCTATGTTTCCATTTTTGAATGGTCTGAACATGTTAAGTATTCCACAAAAAATGTGAATACTTTACATGTTCAGTCTCCAAAAACATTCCAAAAAATATTTACTGCATATTTTCACTACATTTGTACGTTTGTTCACTAATGCAATATCTTCACTCCTGCATTTGTCGTGATTCCATACCTGACCCAATTCTTGTATAACCTCCAATGATGAACTTAGGTCCTTGAATGACCTTGGAAACAACCATGAACTTATTTTCCCTACATGTGGCACATTTGTAATTATTACCCCCTCATCTTAAGAATTTCATTCATACACAATTGTAGAATCAGCCACACATGATTCAATGAAATTGGATTAAACTTAGCATAAAAACGTTCCACACCCAAACATAGCTCATGAACTTAGTGCTTATGTGTTGTTTGTTGCATACTTGCATTGAATGAGTGAGCCTAAAACCCCAGGTCTAACACATTCAGTCAGGGCTATTGGGAGGCTAGCAGATTAATTAAATGTTAAATCCATCTGAAGTGGCTTCTTTGATGACTCACTGTTAGTTGGACTAAAATGGGGTCTTGCATTGTCTTGTTGTATGTAAATATGATTGCTGACACAACTAAACCATTTAGCTTTTATAGCAGGCAAAACAAATCTGAGAAGACATTCCGTGTAAACATTATTTGTGGCCGAAACAATTGCATTCTCCTCAAGTGTGCCAGCTTCACAAGTGTGTGGGATCTGAACTGACCTCTTTGTTTGAGTCTGTGCACAAATGATTTGGATGTACTAAAGCTGCAGAAAGTGGTCTAAGATTCTTTCTGGAACTTAGATCAATATCCATCATTTTTGACATGCCAATGGCAAAGTGTTTCTTACCAACGTTGCCCTTCATTATGCTATCTGGGTTGATAAGAAGTCCAACAAGTTGTTCCTTGATCAGATCTCATATCTTTGTTATGGCCTTTCAGGTGGCCCCAAATTGTTGGTCTATTTTTTTAATGTTGTCTCTGATCATTTTGCTTTTCTGAAGACTTTGAAGAAGATCAGCAATTATACTTCTTCTTTCTTCATTAGAAAGCTTCTTGTACTTTGGCCTAGTTGCAATTTGTAATTCTGAACTTTCTGCTGTTTTGGCATGTAATAGTCATGTGCTGACTGGCTGCCCAGACTGCTACCTTTATAATGTTGATTTGGGGGGGGGGGGGGGTCTGAATTTTAATGATGAAGTGCAAGGTTTAAAAAAAATCCCTCCATTTTGGAGCTATTTAAAGGGAAATCTAGACAAATATGCCATTTCCTGAAAACTGTCATATTTACTATTGTGAATAGTAAACATGTATGGTAAAAATTAACCCTAGGTAAATCCATGGGCAAAACAGACTGTCAAAGGGTGAATAGGGATTTTTCTTAAAATTCATGTAAATCAAAGTGGGTCTTTTTTAGGAACGGAAGTACATTTTTTTGCATTACACTTGAACCATTTCAATTCTCAATTGAAAAAGGAGAAGAAGGAATAGTCAGTCCTCACCATGTAGGAAAAAGTAACATTAGAAAGTACCTGTAATGGTAGAGGTTCCTGGAAGAGGTAAAATCCAGCCATTGCAGAAGATAAAAAATTGGTAGCAAAACTCGTCACAGTAGCTTGTAGAGACGACAGAGCTTTAAGGCTATTAACATAGCATCCCCACATTATCAAGTTGAAAATTACAACCATGCTGTATTGAAGAACCTTCAAACAAATAAAAAATAAAAACAAAGAAGCAAAAATGAATGACCACTCATAATAATTCAGAGAATGACAATGAATCCAGAAAGCATCATATCAATCCACACACAGACAAGCTACGAGAGTATCTGGTTCATTGGAATATCTAAACACATAAATGGAACGAAGTAATCTATTCTTAGACTACTAACATTAGTCATTATCAAGGAAACGTAATCTAATCTCAGACTCCTCACATTAGTCATTCCCAAGGTTACAAATGAAATGAAGATCGCTAATTGCGCAAACAAGTGAGTCTGCTATCAAATTTCAACGAAGGAGTTATCATCAAGAATATGTTTGAGATCCATTATCTATAAGTTACACTAAACTAAAAATTAATATGTGAAGTAGTCATAATTTGTAGGGTTTATTTTTTGAAAGGGATCCACCTGGGATGGAAAGAGCTTCGCTGAAACGGCGGAGAGAGCGGCGCTGATTCCAGCGCTGATGGCCCATGCGTGGCCTCTCTTAATGTACCAGACCATTGGACCTATGAGAAAAGAGAAGTGTTGACTCAAGCGGCGTAGCTCTAGCTTGGGATGGATGGCCGGCCGTTAAGAATTAAAGGTTCCAAAGTGGGGTGTGTTTGGAACTTATTACTTCCTCCGGTTCTTAATTAAGTTCCTAGTTTGACTTCACACATATTAAGTAATAAATTTGACTTTACGGTGAAGTTCACTGCTTATGCACTGTTTGGCATTGTTTGAACACTGTTTTGCACTGTTTTGGGGTAAATCATTTGCCAAATAAGGAAAGGTTTGAAGTAGGAACTTTAATATGGATCATCCCAAAAAGGAAAGTAGGAACTTAATTACGGGACGGAGGTATTTCTTTTTTTAAAGCAGAAGCAGAAGCACTTTTAAGGGGGTGTTTGGATCTGATTCTTCAAACTGCTTCTGCTCCATCAGGGAGCAGAAGCATAAGTTGGAGTGTTTAGGTGAAAGTGTAAAAGTGATTCTGGTGTTCTAATTTACTCTATGAATCAGTTTTTTAGAAGCTGTGGGAGACCAACTTCTGAAAACTGATTCTGATTTTGCTTCTACTTTAAAAAAGAAGCAGAAGCAGAATCAGTTCCAAACACCCCCTAAGTTGGTCTCCTCCTGCTTCTCAAAAAACTCTTTTTAGGAGTAAATTAGAACACTAGAAGTACTTTTACACTCCAACTTCTGCTCCTACTCTCTAAAGAGAAAAAACGGTTTTAAGAATCAGATCCAAACACCCCTGAATTAGATAAATCGGATTCTCTGATGCCATAAATCGGATTTTCAGAGGGAGGAACTTCAGGAGCCAAGACCTCTGGGACTAGGACAGCAAGGGCGGGGCTCTCGATTGCGGCGTCTGGGGTCTCCTGGGGGGCTTCGGGGTCCTTCATCAGTTCAGGTAACCCCTGGCTTCGGCAGAGAATGCTGGATCCCTTTTCTGCAAAAGATCGTATAGGGACTTTTGCATCCCATACTGACCAAGGTTGAAGCATAGGGTCCCTTCCTCATCCAGCCTGGTCTCACCATCAGGTGATCGAAGCCATTCATCGGCAATTTGAGCCATGCGCCCCTGGATCAGCCGCTCCACCTCAGATTGGAAGTCGGCACTGTCTTTATAAACTTGCACCGCCTCCAGCGCTTTCTGCCTCAGTTCCTCCACACGACTCAAAGCATCTCCCCTCTACATCGATGCACCTAGCTTCTGCTCCAATGCGGTCACCTTCTCCTCCAATGCGGTCACCTTCTCCTTCAAACCCAATAACAGGACCTGAGAGTTGTCATGACCCTCCTCAAGGCGATGAAAGCCCGAAGAGGTTAGAATAAGGGCCTAAAAGAATAACCGTCCTCAGGAGTCAAATAACCCACGATGCAGGGAACGAAGATAAGAAATTAAAAATGTACCTCGGTAACAAAGCGAATGCCCTGGCGCATAGCGGCTAAAGGGGACATTCCATTCATCTCCTCAGCATCAATAGGAGGCGTGATTGCCAGACCCAAGGAAATAGGATTTACAGTGCGATTGAAGATAGAGGCAGAGTTTGCTTTCATGGACAACCGGACATGGTGAATTGGTGTCGGGGCTTTCCCCTGATTGCCACCATCTTGAGACTGAGTATCTGAATCGGAATCTAGGTCAATCACCTCTTCAGAGGATTTCAGAGTGGCTCTCACCTTCCTTCTGGGCCCGAAAATGGACTGTCGTGTCGGCCTCTTCCCAGCCCTTTTATCAATAAAGGACTGAGGGTCAACAGCTGGCATGGGCATTGGCACAGTACCATTTCTGGGGGAAGAATCCCCCAACCTCTCTGCAGCGGCATTGGCGGCCCCTCGGGTGGAGATCTTCCTAGAAGGCACCGGAATCCCCGGGGTAACCTTAGCATTGGCAGTCAGGCGTTCCAGTCGAGAAGCCATCTTATCACCCGCTGCATTAGAAGCAAGAAATGTTATCAGAAATCAAGATGTTCAAAGAGAAAAGCAAGGAAATAAAGCCAACAAAACCGAATCAAGTATGATTCGACCTGATTGATAGGTAAGAATCACGATCTTGTCCTCACCTACATAATGCCCCATTAGAAATGGCACCACGTCCGCAATCATCTTAGCGGCCTCAGCGTTCCCGTCTCCCAAGAATGGCATCACCCACTTCCGAATCAATTCCCCCCTCTTGTTCGGGAATTGGAGCTTGTCATCCACATGGGTGACCCAAACCCATTTTTGCCTCCACCCATTGAAGGAATCAGGGTAGGACTTGGCTTCGAATAGGCGATGACCGGCCCGCTGGGAGATGGACAAATAGCCTGGAGATTAAGAACCACCAGGCCGCACAGAGTGGAAGAAATGGAGGAAAAGATCGATACAGGCACGAATTTTCAGGTGCATACACCGGGCGATAAACCCGGCGATAAACATATGGGTAGAAGGGGAAAATTGGCTCGGGTTTACCCTGTAATAGCCCAGAATGCCAAGGTAAGCACCATGTAAGGGAAACCTGAGACCAACTTGAAGACTAGCAATGTGGACTCCAAAATGAAGAGGGGAAGGGGGCTCGACGATGTTTTGACCCGGAAGAGGGCGAGAACAGACTACGCTTGGGCCCGCAAGGGCCACAGCTTCGTTAAACTCTGCGTCAGAGAGTGCCACAGCTGGAACTTTCCGGGCATATTCGCAAGAAAGAAAGAAATGGGTCTCCACCCTGTCGGCGTCAACCGAGATTTGGGGCCGATTTGAAACAGCCCCGTCATCCGGAAAAACCTGATGAACAGGAACAGAGCTTAAGGAAGACATAGGGACTGACTTGGGAAAGGTGGAGGAAATGAAAAAGAATCTTCGAAACATAGGGTTCTTCAACTGACAAACAGAGCACTGGTGCGAGAGGAATTTGTGCGAAAATTTCATTTGGAGAAGGAAACCAGCGTTTAAATAGGCCCAAGGAATTTGTCACGCCCCGGACCTACCGGACACGTCAACAACCCGCCGTACAGTACGAATAGTCAACCGCAGTCCAACTCATCCGTACTATACTAGGCGTCTTGAATATCATTCACAATAGTACATCCATAAACAAACATAATGTAAAATAATCATTTAAATCAGCGGAAACGTTTAATACAAGTGTTTATGCCACACTTCGGCAACATGGGCATACAAGCCCCAAATAATTAATCAAAATAATATCCATGAGCATTAATTTAATGTTTTAAAAATAGAACGGAGGAAGCACGAACCACGTCTTCCTTCCTAGATCTTCCCGAGGCAACGGGCACTGGTAGCAAGCTCTACTCCCTACCTGAAACTGTGAGGTGGCCTCCCCCGTGAAGGGGAGGTCAGTACTTGGAAGCATTTGACAAGTACAATGACAACTATACCAAGTATAATCAATGTTTCAATTTCTAAGACCCTCAAAATAGGGTGATATCATAATATAAATAATAATTTATATTTCCCACTTATTATCTCTATAATAAGTAAGTTTATTTATTTGTCGGCACACGGCCCATCTCATATATTTCATTATACCCGTCGTTAGCACGACACCGCCCGTAGGTCTTATCATCCTTTACGAGACTTGTCACCGCTCTCCGAGGCCTCACCGGGTCCCCGGGCCGGAGTCCAACCTCCCGCCCCTGAACTCATACCCATCGTCCCGTAGGAAGGTAAGGTCCATTCGGGGTCCTATCTTATGTGTTACCGCTGTCGGGAGCCTCGTAAGGTCTCCGGTTCGGATTCCACCCTAACCCGTGATCACGATGTAAGTCCATGCTATCCAACCCCGCTCTCTAGAGTCGGGAAGGGCCATGGTCCTTACTAATTACCAATACTCTATCGGCTAATCCTTAAAGACTACCGAATACACCCGTAGGCCAATCCTATTCCTAGGATCAATTTATTATTCACTTTATCTTGGGTATCCCTTAAGGCCTACCCCTAGCATCACTTATCCACCTTAGTATCTCTTAAGACTACTTAAGGCTCAACAATTCACAATCCAAACCTTGGATCAATTCTAACATATTTCATTCCAAAACCCCGACTAGTATCATTATACTAGTCGGATAAGTTCCAACAAAATCTCATTTCAGTTCATAGTCATATAGACAATTCTCAAACTAATTTTCCATTGAAAATATAGTTCATATCAATATACAAAATATAATCTTTAATCACTCATATATCCTTATATGAAGTTAAAATTATATTTCAACATAATATTCATAGTTAATCCCTTCATCAAGCCAATATGCTCATATTGCATAATCATACACAATTTATCCTTAAATTTGTATATTATGCTCCTTTATTCATTGACAACAATATTTTCATTTAGGCATTATTAATCATTAATAATCCATGAAAATAACATTTAATTACTTTAGGTAATCTTACGAAATTAACCCAAAGATTATAAACAACATAGTCAGCCATCCTCACCTTATGAAGTGCTGGATTAGTTGCCTTTGATAAGCCCTTTGATCAATCCCCGTTCTAAACCGATCAAAAGCTAAATCTGGTCTGCCTGGGCAAAAGCCGGCCGGCTTTGGCAAAAGCCGGGCGATGTTCGTCTGTCTGCTGCGCAGGCAGCTTCTCCTTCTTGGCGGTTTCCGGTGGTTTCAACTCCTATCGATTCCACGACTCTTCTACATTAATTATCACCACTTTATAACATTATTCCACACTTTTAAACGTGTAGAACATCATGTTTAATCCACCATATGATTTCTTACAAATCATACACAAAAAACTAGTTAAAAGATAATACTTGTGTTCTTACCTCAAGAACCAAGTCTTTTGTGTTGGATCTCCTCTCCTATTGCTTTCCTCAAGTTAGAGACTTTGTGAAGACCCTCTCCCAGAGCTTCTCTCCTTGCTTTGGTCGCCCAAATAATGTAGAGGATAGGGGAAGTGTCTCTATGCAATCAATCTCCCAAAATAATTCAAGGATGGGTCATGGGGGGTGTTATTTTGTCTCTAGGAGCCTTCCTCCTATCTTGTCCGCCCCTCCCATGTTTTTGTGTCCCCATTTGATTATTTAGAGTCTACAAGACATGTAGGAAAGTTCCCAAGTGGGTGTAGGAAGTTCCTCTCGA